GAATGGAGAGTTTGACAGTATTAAGCTAGTACTGTCAAGGCAGAGATAAACAGACTCGGATGGGCATGAATATTCTGAATGGTCAAAAAGATGTGTGTCTTATCGCAGAAATAGTTATTAAACCTATAGCCTAGGAAAACATTTCCCACATTAATAAAACTCTGTTATCTGGATGTCTTGTTCACATGCTACCTTCTTGTTCACATACTACCTTCTAATTGACTGCTTAGCTTTTTTGGGGCCCTAATATTGGGAAGGAGATGTGACATAAGAAATGGGCATGAGTGTCCCGTCACTGGAAATATGTATTCTCCCAGACTCATCTCATCCAGTACCTGTTGCAGAGCCTTAAAACTACCTACCCCTGCCCATGGCACCTGACAGTTAGATGTCTCTCTTGTAGCACTCTCTATACATTGGTTTTAACACTGCCGTGTTATTCTGTTACTGGTTTTTACCTGACAGCCTGTCTCACTGTATAGCAATCTCATTGAGGGCAAAAACAGTGTCTGTGTACTCTTAACCATGTGCTTTACAAAATTCAAATGAATAAATGAAGGAGAATGCAAACAAGAACTTAACAAAGATCCTTGGATTTGGCCCTTAAACTGAGTCTTTCATTTTGGCTTTCTTTTAGTAAGCAATGGCACCAACCATTCTCCTCCTACCCTGAATGGTGCCCCATCACCACCACAGAGATTCAGCAATGGTCCTGCCTCTTCCACATCATCAGCACTAACAAATCAACAATTGCCAGCCACTTGTGGTGCTCGGCAGCTCAGCAAATTGAAGCGCTTTCTCACCACTTTGCAACAGTTTGGCAATGACATCTCGCCTGAGATTGGGGAGAAGGTGCGGACTCTTGTTCTAGCCCTGGTGGTAAGTACCGCATCACTTTCACCACTGCCTGAGTATATGGCTCAGAACCGAAGCCAGCAGAGAAGCTGTACCCACTTCTGCTCACTTCCAAACAGGTAGCAATGCAGCAAAATCTACAGACTATATTAGTTATTATATAACTAATTTGTAGATTTCAATTGTGTATAAAAAATGTTTACCTCAGAAACAAACCTGTGCTTACTTTATCGTTTCTTATGGTGCTGATTTAATTCCAATCAGCAGCTTTGAAAAAACGGTGTTTCAACAGGCCACTGAGGTTCAACCAAATTAATACAAGGTTTTGTTACTTAATATATTCAGTGCCTGGTGCATTATTTCCAAACCTGAGAGAAAGAGAAAGTAGCGACTTTAATTTTCAAAATAATCATTTGTAAAAGTGTAAGTTTCATGGTCTAAATAAATAGTATCAAAGGGATTACATTCTTCATCTCCTCATGCAAATACGGTTTCTTTAGAGTTTTCAAGATACACATAATTTTTCTTTCTATACGGAATGTGGTGAACCCGTGACATAAGGGAGTAATTTTCTGGCAGTGACAGCGGGGTAGGGTTTGGCTTTAATTGTGTATAAGGGAAGTTCTGCCAGTTCCCAATGTTTGTAAATTGAATCTTCAAGGTTTTACCTCCTGTAAAAACACCCCATGCTCCTGCGTGTTAGCCTCTAGATGTGATAAAGATGAATCACAGTATTAAACTTTAACACTGCAGTTCTCAAAGTGTAATCAGGGACCCCTGGGATTCCCTCAGACCCTTAGGAAGTTTGGTAGGTCAAAATTAGTTTCATAATAATAAGATGTTACTTGCTTTTTCACTCTTATTCTCTCATGAGTATATGATGGAATTTTCTAAAGGCTGTGTGATATAGGATGTTGCAACAGATTAAATGCAGAAACAGCTAGGAGAACCCAGCTGGTTTTTATTAAGCTAGGTATGAAAGAGATTTGCAAAACTTGAACAGCAGTGCCATTCTTTTTATTTTGTTTTTGGGGAAAATATGGTTATTTTGAAATGGATTAATAATCATTTTCAAATTCTCAGTTTTAATTTCTGATGTGGTGATTGATAGATGTAACCCAACAGTGCCATTCTTCTTACTTTGTTTTGGGGGAAAATATGGTTATTTTGAAATGGATTAGTAATCATTTTCAAATTCTCAGTTTTAATTTCTGACATGGTGATTGATAGATGTAACCCACTCAAATTAGAGAGATTGTGAGACTTAAAAGTTTAAGAACTGCTGCCTTAAATGATTCTCAGTTTAGTGTGGAAGAAACAACTTTTATACAAGGCAAAATGAAGTAAATGATTATTTAAACATTTGAGATTCAATGTCTGTTGTTTCATATAGCTGTAGGTTGTTCCTTTTCATTTCTATAATGTGTTTTATTGTAGGAATATACCAGAATTGATACTTTTTACACCCCCATGCTCTGAGATTCGCTGGAAGAATTCCCAGGAGCTGGCACATAGTGGTGCTCACAATTAAGATTTGTTACAGAGACACAATAAGGCTACACAGTTGGATCATAAAGGAGAGAGATGTGGTTGGAATCTGCAGGAATCCATGTGCAGGCTTCCTTGCTCTTTCCTTCCTACATTGGTCACACAGCTGACTATTACCCCAGCAGTGAAAATGCAGCCACATGTGTGCGATGTTTCTGCCCAGGGAAGCCTGTTAGAGACTCAGTGCCCAAGGCTTTTACTGGAGCCTGGGCACATAGGCACTCTGCCTAGCACCTACTGACATTCCAGACTCCTAAAGGAAAACCAGTGTTCAGCATAAGCCATATTGTTTGCAAAAACATTCTAGACACCGTGAACTACCCTCTACAATTAGAGAAAGCTTTTTTGTTTTTGTTTTGGGGGGAAAGAAAAGTGTTTAAAAGTATTTATTGATCAGAATTTATACTACTATGGAAAAGTCTTAATCTCAGTAATAAAATTGGCCTTAAATGTCAAAATGAGTTTGAACACAATCAGAAAGAAAGCAGACACCAGAATGTTATGCCAGTTCCACCAGCAAATTACTTTAAGTAGAGCCTATGCTTAAAGACAATTTCAGGAGTGAAAGAAAAAAAAGATGGTCCTCATTCACAGAAAAAAAAAAAAGTGAATCTTTTTCTAACTATGAAAGTATATGTAAATGTAGCCAATCATCTCTTACAAGTGGCCATGCTTGCATTAACTATTTTTTCCAATTATTTTTATATCTTTAGGAGGTGGTAAAATAGAAATTTACCTTGTCAACCATTTTAAAATGTATAATTCAATGGTATTACGTACACTCATTGTTGTGCTACTGTCACCACGATCTACCTCCAGAACTCTTTTCATCTTGCAAAACTGAAACTATACCATTAATATTCCTCATTCCCTCCTCCTCTCAGCCCCTGCCAACCACCTTCTACTTGACTACTCTAGGTATCTCATATAAGTGGAATCATGCAGTATTGGCCTTTTTTTTTTTTTTAAAGATTTTATTGGGGAATTGGGGGAGGGGAACAGTTTTGGGGAATTGGGGGGAGGGGAACAGACAAGTTGCTGTCCTTTGGTTCTTCAGTCTAGTTGTGGAGGACGTCACCTCACTGGCCCATGTTTGTATNTTTTGCTCAAACCTTTATGTTTTGTGTTATTATCTTTAAAGGTAAGAGAAGAGCATCTAAGAGGTACAGCTTTGATAGAAGGTTTAATGATCATTTTCCCAAAACGTTTGAAATTAGGTGAATGGCACCTGTAGCAATCTGAGCCAGGGTGAATGAAACAAAGTTTGATATCCTTTTTCCTAAATTCTATTTTCTATCTCAAAGTTACTCATCCTTAGATATAAGTACTCTTTTGAAATGAAACAGACTTAGACTGAGGCGATCATTCAGATTTTAAGATACAGACAATAGTGATATGTGTACACAAATTCAGCTCTTTTTACCTCTGTATTTGACTACTTGGAGGTGGATATGTTTGATTTCAGAAAATGTGATCATGCGCTTTCACTAAAGAGGCTGTGAAAAAAACTTGTCTGAGCATCAGGGTGGCTAAAAGCACAGTAATTTTTTCTTTTTTAATTGCGGAACAGTGTGTTTTTCCAGGACCCATCAGCTTCAAGTCAAGTCATTGTCTTCAGTCTAGTTGTGGAGGGCACAGCTCAGTGGCCTATGTGAGGATCGAACCGGCAACCTTGGTGTTATGAGCTCTGTGCTCTAACCAACTGAGCTAACTGGCCACCCCAGTAATGTATTATTTTTATAGGCTGCTTCAAAAGAGGGCCACTGTCTAGTGGCAAGTCACCTTTCTGTGAACAGGTAGTAATGGCAGGCCACTGCAACTAATTCTCTGGATTGCTACGGTTGAGTGTTGAGCTTTCTTTCCAGCAGCTCTAGTGATCTTTTCAAATGGAAGACACGGAAGAGAACCCCCCCTTTCCTTTCTCAGCCTTAATAGTCTTTTAAGCCATGAGTCATATTCAGCAGCATTTTCCTTAACACCTAACTTTGCTAGCTAATGAACAAAGCCAGTGTATATACAGTATATGCAGTTTACAAAACTTAGCTAGTTATAATATATATATACACAGATGTGTAAGATGTTCACCAAGAAGTGTACAATCTATTGTATTAAGGAATTGCAAGTAATTTGGCAAGTAACATAATGGAAGCATCTGTACCCAGGACAGAGAAGAGTTACTAAATCTATCAGGGTTTACCTTAACATGGATCAGCAGAGTCTCAAAGAATGCTTCTTAATACAGGTGATATCTGAGCTATATAAGATGAAGAAGGTTTTAATACAGATCAAATTGAAATAAAGGTCAGTGAAGAAGTAGGAATAGTGATGATCAACCAACTGTGACTGTCTTGGAGGAAGATGAAGGGAAATGGAAAATTTTTCATGGTTAATGAGTTGGCATAGGCAAATTATAAGTAAATGTCACAGTTTTCTAAGTTAGGTAAAGATTAAATGAATGAGTTCTTTAAATTTTGCTTAAGCCTTGACTTAAATTTTTTTTAATGTTTTTAGGCACGGTTTTACCTTCTTAGATTTTTCAAGCCTGGGGTAGAGTAAATGAAAAT